GTTTTAGTTGATCAAATGGAAGTGATTTTCGTTGTTGCTCGTTAGTTATTATTGCTTGTTTCCTTTGTATGTATGCATTTGTGCTTGGTTTGTGTTGCTTCTGTGCTGAACTGATTGATCCATCGCTCTCGTTGAGCGGTCGACTACGTTTTGGAGTTGATGATTTATGTTGAAAGCTTGTTTTAATATTTAAAATTGATGGAATTTGTTGTTGTTCTTGGTTTATTTGATCATTGTAAGTATGCTGAAACGACTGTTGTGCACTACGAGCTCGAGTAAATTCAAGAAACTGATAAAAATCATTCAACATGTTGGGGTTTTGTGCTAGTGAACGAAGAAGACCTTCTCGTTGTTCTATAGTGTTGCTATCATAGTAAATTGGTGGTTGAAAACATTGTTGCTGCTGTGATTCACCCATTTCAAATTCACCAGTGATGAGATGAGTGGATCGAACGAGATTGTTTACTTCGGCTGATTGAACTTGACTAGAGGACATTTAGTGCTCCTCTGCTACTGCAGGGGAACTTACAAGATAGATGGGTATGTAAGAGAACCGTAAGGAATGCGACTGTTCTCGACGAAGGCAGATAAAGAAGTGAGGAACATACTAATGCAATATACATCTACGTCTTCTTAGATTCAATCAACGACAGTAAGAAAAAAATCAACTTTGATGAGTTGATTGAGATTAATGATACACATGAGTCATCATCAACAGTTGCTGAATATCCTGATTCAACATCAAATGATAATAATGTGTGTTTGGAAGCTTCTCATGTAAGTGAATGAAATGTTTGATGTGAAAAATAAATAATCGATGATTTTTGAAAACACTAGTATATATTAATCATTTAATGCATCTTTTTAGAATGGAGAAACAAATCACTCTCGTAACGTATTTGATTCACAACAAGATTTTCTTAACTCATCTGATATTATTCATCTGACGTTTTCATCTCCATTTGAGGGTGTGGGGTCTGGGTGTGGGTGTGGGTGTGTGGATGTGGGTGTAGGTGTGGGTGGGTGTGGGTGTGTGGATGTGGGTGTGGGTGGGTGTGGGTGGG